AACTCATGCTTTCAAATGACGTCCTTTGGAGTTGACCGGGAAATAAAAATGCCAGGATTTTCGCCTACATTTACGGTGCAAGGGCAAATTGATCTTGGAATAGGTTCACTTTTTCCAGCTGAAAACGAACAGCATAAATTTTTACAAGTATATTTTATGGGTGACGAAGAAATTGAGGTAGACCGTCGCTGCCAATTTATCCAGGGAGTTGAGAGAGACACAGTGTTCAAAATTCAAAGATTCTTGCATGAACGTGACATTTTAGTCAAAAAGTTTAAAACTGCTTTAGAAAACCTACCTGAAGAGGATTATAAAGTCGTCATTCACGCAGATCAGACCCCTCGAGGAGGGCATGAAAGGCGCTACAATGCACTTTTGATAAACGAAATAGCAGCCGTAATTAGTGGTGATCAATTTTCTTCACGAGACATTGTCTTGCGAGCACGTGATGATACGTTGCAACGGGTAGCCGATACACACAAGTTTTATGACACTCTGCAATACCCATTGATTTATTGCAAAGGACAAGAGGGTTATCATTTTCAAATTCCACTCATTAACCAGACAAAGGAGCCTACTTCGAACAAAAAGTATCATGTATGGATTTTTATGCGTATCATATGATGTTGCGAGAAAATGATTTTAACCTCTTAGCCCGGTGTAGACAATTATTTCATCAATTTTTGGTAGACATGTATGTGAAGGTAGAAAGTGAACGTCTCCGTTATATATCTTTAAATCAAAAAAAGCTGCGCGTTGAGAATTATATACATTTACAAGATGCAGTTTCTAGCGACGCCAATGTAAACCCCAGAGATTTAGGTAAAATAGTAATTCTGCCCTCATCATTCGTTAACAGTCCCCGCTACCTACATGAGTACACACAAGACGCATTCGCCTATGTACGAACTTACGGAAGACCTGATCTTTTTTGTTACTTTTACTTGCAATCCCACATGGAAAGAAATAACCGAGGAGCTAATGCCGGGCCAAAAAAGTACTGACAGACACGATTTAGTTGCTAGAGTATTTAGATTAAAAGTACAAAAATTAATGAATTTAATTAACAAAGGGAAAATTTTCGGAGAGGTGCAGTGCTTCATGTATTCAATTGAATGGCAAAAAAAGAGGATTACCGCATACCCACATTCTAATATGGTTTAAAGAGAAGTTGCGGCCCAGCCAAATAGACGACATAATAAGTGCCGAGATTCCGGATCCTGAGCAAGATAAAGAATTGTATGATACCATCGTCCGAAATATGATTCACGGTTCATGTGGAGCACGAAATTCAATATCGCCATGTATGAAAGAAGGAAAATGTACAAATAAATTCACTAAACAGCTATTAAAAGAAACAGTGCACAATAACAATGGCTACCCTTTATACAGATGCAGAGCTCCCGAAGATGGTGGCAGGAAAGTTGCAATCAAATCTCGCTCTGGAGCGTTCTAAACCTTAGATAACAGCTGGATTTTCCCGTATTCGCCCATTCTGTGTAAAATGTTTAATGCCCACGTTAATGTAAAAGCATGTAGCTCTGTCCGCGCAATCAAGTATATCTGTAAGAACATAAATAAAGGAAGCGACCAAGCAATATTTAATCTCAGGAGTGAAGGTGAGGGAAATCCCGTAATAAAGTCACAGACTTTTCAAGCAGGGCGTTATGTCAGCAATAACGAGGCAGCGTGGCGTCTCCTTGGCTTCCCTTTACACGAAAGGCACCCGACAGTTACTCACCTTGCTGTGCACTTAGAAAATGGAGAGCGTGTATATTTCACCGAAAGAAATTTCCAAGAAAGGATTGCATCACCGCCATAAACTACACTAACAGCCTTCTTTCAACTTTGTAAAACCGACCCCTCCAAAAACTTTTCCCCCGCTATTATACTTGGAACATATCTTGGAAGGAGTAGGAACGCCGTATTCAGGGCGCGCCCGTTGCAAATTGACCCGGTGTAAAGTCTTCAGATGCCCTTGGTCGTGTGTATACCGTCCATGTAACTAATTTTGAATGTTTCCTGTTTACGATTGCTGGTGCACCATGTTCGGGGTCCTACAGGATATAAAGACCTTAAAACTGTCAACGGTCAGGAACGCGCAACTTATAGAGAAGCATGTGAAGCTCTGCATCTTTTAGAAAACGATAATCACTGGGATGAAACCATGGAGGAAGCTGTGCAGTGCCAGTCACCAGCCAAAATTAGAGATCTTTATGCAACTCTCATATCATCTTGCGGGCTATCTAATGTACATGAATTGTGGGACAAATATAAAGAGTACATGGCGGAAGATATTTTGCGAAGGTTAAAGCAGACACACGCAAACATGACATACAATGAACACATTTATAATGAAGCACTTGGAAAAATTGAAGATAAAGTAATGGCAATGGTAGGCAAAAAATTAAGCGACTTTGGAATGATAAGCCCTCAGCGAACAACCCAAAATGAACTAAGTGATGAAATTATACGTGAAACAAACTACGATATACCAGCTTTGCAGCAGCAAGTAGCCGAATTTGTACCCCGCTTGCTTCCCAAACAAAAACGAGTTTTGACAAAGTATTAGGACAGATTGAATCTGGAAATGGTGCACTTTTCTTTTTAGATGCCCCTGGAGGAACTGGGAAGGCATTTTTGTTAAATTTATTATTAGCGCAAGTACGGAAAGATAAAAACATTGCTGTGGCCGTAGCTTCCTCCGGTATAGCCGCCACGCTGCTAAGTGGGGGCCGCACTGCACATTCTGTTTTAAAACTCCCTCTAAATCTAACCCAGGAAAAATCGCCGATCTGCAACTTTAGCAAAAATAGTGCACGAGGTATAATGCTACGACAATGCAAACTTTTAGTTTGGGACGAAAGTACAATGCCGCATAAAATAGCTGTAGAAGCACTAAATCAACGCCATTTGCGTAGCAATACCGATGTAATGGGAAGAATGGTGGTTTTACTGGCTGGTGACTTTCGCTGGTGACTAATTGGCGTCAAATTTTTGGCAACCCGGAACGGTCCAGACTTGGCAACACTGATCACTGAGCATGTCTATCATCGTAGACAGAGAAACCTATAGACAAATTGACGCCTTCTTTCGCATTCGCACACGAAAAAGATAGATTTATAGTTTATACATACGTCTTGCATAGAAATGATACAGAGCGGTGTGATTGTTTGTCCCTTTCTCCGTGCCGATTTTTTTGTTTAGCAAACTACACTTTGTTAAACAACTTTGACAGTTCTTAGCGACCTAAGGAGTTTACAAGTTGGTTTAAGTGAGAAAAAATTGTTTTGTGAGTTAAGGTTGGTGAATCTTGTTCAGTTCAGTTCTAAGAAGAATTAAAATTTTATCTAAATATGTTTAAGTCATTAAGATTATTGTATAACCTAAAACTACGTTATCGTCCTTTCTCACTCAAGGCCACGCTAAACATTAGTCTATGGGTTTCTCTGTCTATAACGAAGGTGTGACTTTGTTGCGACTGGTTTAAAATGTGCCATTGTAAATCAATAAATCATTTTTCAGATTGCTTATTTATACTTTAAAGATGTAGATCTGTATCAGCTGTGGAACTCACGTACTAGCAGATGGACTGCGTCGTCGTGTGTCACCCTAGCTTTTGTAAGAAAAATACAGTACAACTCATAATTTTATATATAATTTTATAATGTATAAGTAAACAACTTGCCAATACGGGCATTTTCTTTGAATCAACTGGAGGATTCGGGTTCATTCAAATGCAGAGGCGGCACACGTATAGAGCGCAGCTAAAACGATTATAGTGCGGAATAATGTTACCATACTTGTATCAAAATGTCGAACTTTGCGAAAAAGGAGTTAAACCAATTTTAAATTAATTTAATGGTCCTAAAATCCACTATTCAACAAAATGTGTGGACTCGTATATAAGGTAATAATAATAATGTCTTCCAGACCGAATTTCGGCCACGGCGGCCTGCTTCAACGGAGGCTAGCCATCGGCGCATGACAGGATTATAGTGCCCAAGCGTATGCGCAAGCACAAGTGCACTCTCTATTCCCTTACTCTCAAAATCCGATGAGACAGTAAGCCGACACTATCGGATAGAGATCAGGCACAGGACCAACGGCTTTACGTGCTTTCCGAGGCACGGGGGTGAGACACCGCCAACTTCTGTACGTTATACGTCTTATACGTCTATCATGAAGGTTCTCTAACCTTCATGATGTCTATCGTATAAAAGTTCTCTGACCTCCATGATATATTATATTAGTTTATGATGTTATCTAGGGAGGCGATTGTTTCCGAAAGAGATCGATTTTTAAGTCTATTCAAATCGGAATCTGATGAATACAAAAAAATCGTAGTCTAAAAGATCTATTTCTCAAAACCGATCTTTTCACGATTCGCTTTCTTTAAAAGGTAAAACAAAGTACAGAATACAAACGTAACTCATTTTTTATTTCTTTAATCCATTAAAAAGAGATGAATGAAACTGAGCACACAGCAGTTTTGCGAGTTTTTGAATGGAAAAACTGTCATTCTTTACGAGTTTGGATACATCCAACTAAATGTTAATAACTTTACAGTTCCTAAAAAACAGAAAAAGATTCGATCTCGATTTCAAGGATGAAATATCGATTCACTTAATCGGCAAAGAAATCGATTCTTCGATCTCATATTCAGACCGCCAAATCGCCATCCCTAATGTTATCTGTGTTTATCAGTAATCTATGGTCTCTTAGTAGCCTGTATATATTACTCTACTCTATGCTGTGTTGTGTCTATGGTGTTTATGTTACGAAGTGTTGGCGTGTGATATATTTAATTTAATTTCATAAAATCGTAATTTTATGAGGTTTTCCTCATTCCACAGTAAATAAAGACTGGACTATATCGATTTAACGATTGTGTTGAATTGTATCATGCAAAAGGAAATTATTATGGTCATAAATTTTGCAGGGTGTACGGACGCAATATGTGAATAATGAGTGCGCAACAAAGCCCGGCCCAAACAAACATGCAAGCCGTAGTTGATAGAGAAAAAGTGTATACATGGATTTTAGAGCTATGTAATCCCGAAACTCGTGAAAATGCTCTTTTGGAGCTAAGTAAAAAAAGGGAGGTGGTGCAAGATTTAGCTCCCATGCTATGGCATAGTTTTGGGACTATCGCCGCTTTATTACAAGAAATCACTAATATTTACGTTGCTATGATACCGCCAACCTTAACAGCCCATCAAAGCAATCGTGTGTGTAATGCTTTAGCCCTGATGCAGTGTGTAGCTTCGCACCCCGAAACAAGATCTGCATTTCTACAAGCTCATGTACCATTGTTCTTGTATCCTTTTCTTCATACTGTGTCCAAAACCCGCCCTTTCGAATATCTACGCTTGACTAGTCTAGGTGTCATAGGAGCCTTAGTAAAAACTGATGAGCAAGAGGTAATTACATTTTTGTTAACAACTGAAATAATACCACTTTGCCTACGCATCATGGAAAATGGTTCAGAGCTCTCCAAGACTGTGGCAACATTTATACTTCAAAAAATTTTATTGGATGACAGTGGCCTGTGTTACATATGCCAGACCTACGACAGATTTTCTCATGTAGCTATGATTCTTGGAAAAATGGTGCTGTCCCTTGCAAAAGACCCATCAGCTCGTCTTTTAAAGCATGTTGTCCGTTGTTATCTCCGTTTGTCAGATAATCCAAGAGCCAGAGAGGCCTTAAGGCAATGTCTTCCAGATCAGCTGCGTGATGCAACATTTACAGCATGTCTGCAAGAAGATAATTCAACAAAACATTGGCTGGCACAACTCATTAAAAATTTAGAAGCACAGCCTCCACCTGCTAGTCCTGCCCAACAGAACATGTGAGCATCAAGTGAGGAAGTCCTAAATCCCTTGCATAATCTTAAAAAATAGTTCAGTTAAAAAAAATTATATATCCTTAATAACTTTTTATAGAATGACATGAAATTGTTTGCTAGTTACTCTATTTACAGCAATTTTGTCCATTAATTAAGAGGCTTTTGACTAAAATAGAAACATAGCATAATTACAAATAAAATTATTTGACATTTCAGTTTTAAATTGTATGTTTAACTGAACCCATGTGTAACCAATATCTTATTCACCACTGTTAAGCTGTGTCGCATGTTAATTGTCAAACTTTTTTTTAAATAACCTGTTGATTTGTTTCTTTTTTGTTTATAATGCATTGTTTTTTTAGGTACAAAACCAGATGAAAACTATTTTGTATGCAGGTGTTATGGACTGGAATATAAATACACATTTAAAAAATTTTCATATCAGTGTTTTATTTTTTAACTACCAAATAATTTTTATAAAACTTTTTTACTAAATTTAAGTAACATGTGATCTCGTAAATTAAAAGAAAACTGTAACATTGTGTGATAAAAATTTTTTTGAATAGATATATTGTTTCCCAGATAAGGTTTGAGATAAAGTACCAATAGAAAATTAGGGTATATATTTTTATTGTTGCCTCTTATAATTCTGTTTAATTAAATTATTTTTTACTGATTTAAAAAAGGCTTAAGAATATACATAAGCAACTCTAAGAAAAAAGCAGAGATTTAAGTATCAAATTTGATCAATATTTTTTTACAAATTTTATTAACAGTGCCTGATAATACTATATAAAATATTATATATAAGAAAACAAATTTAAAAATCTGGACCTCGTGTTGGGTATCGAGATAATGCCCATCGCTTTGCACCCCAATTATTTAACAGAGGTCTGCAAACCTTTTTAGACTTCATTCTTTGGATTTCTTGTGCATTTAACTTTTTTGAACTGTTATCTTCCATTTTGGACACATCAAAGAATTGTGTACCGCAAGTTACAGTCTCCGAACAGTGATAACAAGCCTTATCAATTTGTGAATATAATTTACTTCTCGAAGTCTGTACAATTTTTGTATCGTTTTCAATGCTTCTTGATTTGCAACTACATTTACGTGGTGTTTCCCTTTGATGTATAATTGTCAAACAATTTTTGTCAGAATGTAAAGGTCCTGAAATAATAGTATTTATTGATTGGTCAAAAAACTTTTTCCTTAATAATATTTTCCGAGATTTAAATTTATTAACAGTAGTAATTTTATTCTTATTGGAGGGAATAATATTGTTGACCACTTTCCTTTTTTCTATAACAATAGATCTTGTAGGATTTTCATTAAAAATTTTTTTTGGTATATTATGGCATTTGTATGACCTTGACAGTTCCAGTACTGGATCTACTAAATCACTGCTAAACTTTTGAGCTGTGGTGGGCATATATATTATGTATGTTAAGTCAAATTCTTTGCCTGAATCACTGTAAATAATTTAGGGAAGGACCTAGAAGTTTAAAGTGATTATAGGTATTTAATAGTAATAGATTCATTATATGTAACTATAGGTCTAAGCATGAAATAAACATGTAATTAGTTACCGCATTTATATTAATAATTTAATACTTGCATCATTTATATACCGTCACATCATCTAAATAATATTCCCTTTTTATTTAGCCCATGTAATATACATTTTTTTAGATTTAATATCTACGTCCAAGAATTTCCAGCATTTCTTTTAAAAACCCAATTTTGCATAGCTTAGACAATGCGTAAGCATCTTAATAGTCTATGCTTAGACATGTGTCAATCATGCATGATTCGTTCGTTTTAGCTGGTATTGATGGTTCATTCATTTGTTTTTGAATGTACCAGTCCAACCAATCAAAAACAATTGACGGTACCTTTTTAACCTGCCATTTGTATGAATTGTGAATGAGCCGACAAACCGACCGAATCCCGAATGATCTGAGAGTGTCAGGATTTATTATTTGAGGGTTTTTTAGTATAATATTCTTACCTAAATTAAAAAGTGTTTTACGTTTTATTATATTTATTTGTTATGTGTGACGACGCGTGACGAAATTAATGTACTAGAATGATTCGGTCACTAGAAATGAATGATTGACACTTGTGTACATAGATATCTATTACCTATGTACCTACATACCACAAAACACTATTACTCCTATAGGTACCTTTTGAAGCCATGTCGTCATTTCATTCGGCAATATCCTTTTTATACTTAGATTTTTTCTTCACAATATGCTGATACGTCACATGAAGGAGAAGAAGAAGAAGTATTTGGGAGATTTTGACAACAACTCAACCCAGCGGACACCAACAGTCGATGATGGTAACTCAGGTTCTTAAGGTGCTTAAGCGATCAAAATAACTTGAGATTTATAGTAACATCAAAGCACTTATTTCGTCGTTTCCACAAATAGTTCGCATGCAGACAGTGCAGACACTTAATACACAAAATTCCATCACTTTTACACATCATCATCCACTACGAACCATTATTTAAACGATAAAACAGGAGCAACAATCCGTCAGTGGTCAAATCCCCGCCAAAACTCCTTAAAAAACCTTTGAGTATCCTCTATACTCAAAGGTTTTTTCAAGGAGTTTTAAAGGTACCTTTACCCTATTATGCCTCTGAAATGAATAAAACCAGCTTAACAGTGGTAGAGCCACGCGGCAGTCTTTGCTGTTGCACGTATGGGCTGACTCGAACCGGGGTGGTACCACGACCTCACAGAAGACCAGCGTGAAACAAAAGCTCTGCTTCTGCATTTCGTCTGGTGAGTGCAGGTGGCCATAGGCCTAATTCCCCTCCCGTGCCCTTTAGCATGGTAGCGGAGTTGAATAAAACACTACCCTAGGAGGGTACCAGCACCCCCGGTAACGAAGAATCCTTCGCTGAGCATCCACGCCCAAGCTACCCTGCTCTTCCTGAGCGTGAGAGCTCAGGCTGCCCCGCGTATTCTGAGGGAGGGTGGGGGGGGGGGGGTAAAATTCCGCTCGAGACTAAACCTGCTCGGGTCAAACGGAGCAATAAGTCAAAGGCACCTCCTGCCACGCTATCCGTGAATTTTTGCTACATCAGGGGACTCCATTCAAACCTTAACGCGGACGGCATTACTATACTTTGGAAACTGCGAAGCCGGCTTTGTTCTTTCTAATCGAGGCACTGGTGTTCGCTTTGACTGATACTTCGTATCTCGCCTACCCGGGGTACAAATTAGAACACTCCTTTGTGCCCCGTGCTAGAGCGTTGCGTGTAAATTAGAGAGGACATCAGTTTTCGAAGCTTCGGCAGCCTTGAAGGTACAAAAATGTCCATCTTATGGCTGCGCGTAGACAGTGACGACCATTCCCGCGTCAACTTGTGCCTCTATAGGTCCCATAGCGGTAATGCTGACACAGACCGACTCATCGACCACGTCCAAATGGCTGCAGACTCCGTGCTACAACAGGTCCCATCCGCAAAGATCGTGATACTTGACGATTTTAACGGACGGCTATCAGGTCTCCGTTGATGCCATCTTGGCTCCTCGGACCGTTGTCTGATACGGAGTACCGTGCCACTCACGCTCCCATCGCGGTCAGCCGATTGGGACGGAATGCGATCTTTGCATCCTACCCTTGGAGGCGGGTTTGCTTCTCGCTGGATGATCCCAGCGTTGTTGCTGATTCTGTCGCTGATGTAGTGCTACAGGGAATGGAACTTTTAATTCCATCATCTGTGGTATCTATCAGAGGCAGGACTCTGTCATGGTTTGGTCGCTCCTGCAAAATTGTATTACCTCATAAGAAGGAGTGCTATCAGGCCTGGGCCCACGCATCGAACTTTCGGGATGAAAATACCATTCTTCAAAAGTGTCATTGTCAAGGCAAAATCAGAGCACATCGGCAGAATTGGTGAGAAACTAGATCGTCTTCCTTCGCGAACACATGCATTCTGGTCTCTTGCCAAGGCTTTCTAAGGGAACTTCTGTCAGCCATCTCTGCACATGAAAGACTACTCACTGGCCCATGCCGCAAAGAACAAAACCGATCTGCTGGGCTCCCTCTTTGCGTCCAATTCGACTCTTGATGACGGGGGTAACACACCACCGGCCATCTCGCGGTAAGAGTGCTTCATGCAGCATGTGCTATTTACCCAACGCTCGGTGCGCAGAGCACTCGTCTCCTTGGACGTCAACAAGTCAAGTGGGCTTGATTGCGTCCCTCATATTGTGCTGAAGACGTGTGCTCCGGAGTTGGCACTGGTTTTATCGCTTGCTTTTCGGTGCTCCTACTTCCTAGACGTAGTCCCGAAATCATGGAAGACGGCTTTCATGCACCCGATCCCTAAAAAAGGTAACCGTTTTGATCCGTCCAAATATAATCTAAATATATATAACTATCTCTAAAATAATAGAATCCATTACTAACGGCCAGCTCATGCGGTACCTTGAGGATCATCAGCTGATTAGTGACCGCCAGTACGCTTTCCGTCGTGGTCGCTTGGCTGGTGATCTTCTGGGTGTCCTAACTCATAAATAGGCGGAGGCAGTAATCTGAAGTCAAGACTTTGTTGAACAAAGTCTCAGACTGGGAGCGACTAAATCTAGTCCAGTTCAATCCCCAGAAGATACAAGTTTGCGCGTTTACCGCTAAAAAGAATCCCTTCGTCGTATCTCAGTCTCAAGGCACACCCCTTGTTTTCTTAGCCAGTATCGGAATCCTCGGCGTCTACATATCTACTGACGTCCAGTTTCGTGGTCACTTGAAAGAGCTTGGCGTGCTCAGCAGAGTGGGACAGTATTTCATGCCGGTTCATCGCTTGTAACTTTACAAGGCGCAGGTTCAGCCACACATGGAATATTGTTCCCATCTCTAGGCTGGGGCTCCCCAGTGCCAGCTCTTTCATTTGACCGCATCCAGCGCAGAGCTGTTTGAATCGTGGCGACCGAGTTCTCTCAGATCGGCTTGATACACCGGCACTGCAAAGAGATGTTGCATCTTTTTGCGTATTTTATCGCATTTTCCACGGGGAGTGCTCTGAGGAATTGTTCAGACTAATTCCAACCGCATGATTTCACCATCGCACATCGCGGCAAAACTCGCGATAACATCTGGATGACTGGTGGTCCACTACTACGCGATTTAAAAGAAGTTTTCTACTACCATTAGAGATTTTTCCAGATTATTCGATACGACTTAGGGACCTTCAAGAAAAGAACCTACTACTCTTTAATAGGCTGGCAACGCATCTGCGATTCCCCTGGTGTTGCAATTGCTCATGGGCGGCGGTAATCACTTACCATCAGGTGAGCCGAATGTTCATTTTCCCCCTCTCCTTTAAAAAAACCACAGCTTAAAAAGTAATGCATCGT